CGTTCCCAGGGTCACGGCAATGGACGCGCACGACGGCACTTGACGGCGCACGTGGCAGTTGAGGGAGCGGCGGAGGTGTCGGGGGAGCGTGCGGGCAACTACACGGTGAGCTATGTCTGTCGGGACCGGTTCAACAACGTGGCTCGGGAGGAGGTGGAGATTGAGGTGCAGCGCTTTGAGGCCCCGCCGCGTGAAAATGTGTTTGTGGCGCCGCTGGCGCGCATGCCTGTGGATGTGGCGAGCCAGGAGCGATCGCTGCGGACGCACCTGCGGCAACCGCATGTGTTTGTTGTCTCGGTCGTACCGGCTGGAACATGGCCGTTGCCGTACAACCAGATGCCGGGAGCACGCACGAGCTTGGTCAATGAGACGGAGCGGAATGCGACTGAGACGGAGACGGAGACCACGGCTGGGCAAGAGCGGCGATCGACGACGAGCAGCTACGTGGTTGGGTTTGCGGTGCGCAACAGCACGACGTGGGCGTGGCTATCGGTGGCGGAGATGGAGGCGTGGTTGGCGGGCCTGGAGGCGGTCAACGGGACGGGCTCGTCGTTGTCAGCGGTGGTTGTGTCGCTGGCAGAGTATGAGAGCATGACGTCGGGGGGTGGAGGAGCGGCGTCGACGCGGCGTGCAGAGACGACGGAGGGGTCGGCATCGTCACGGGCGGCATCGGAGAGCGGGGGCTCGATGATTACGGTGCTGGTGATTGTGCTTGCGTCGTTGGTTATGATTGGGCTGGTGTTGCTGGTGATTAAGCTGGTGTGGGTACGGCGTCGACGACGGGCGCGAGTGGCGCGAGTGAAGCAGGATCTGCATTCAAGCCCGCTGGGGTTGATGGACAATCCGCTGTATGGGCAGCCGCTGGCGGATCCCGACTCGGAGACGTTGCGACCGGGCAGTGGTCGAGGCTCTGGGGTAGGTGGATCGGACAAGGGTGACCCCTCGTACGGCCAGGCCTTGTATTCCGCGCTGGACCATTCGGCAGTAGCTTGGGGATATGAGCCTGCGGCTGGCGCGGAGAACCAGTATGATCGCTTGAGTGCGACTGGCAGCATGCATTCGCGGCGGGCTCAGCAGCAGTCTGGGGTCGACGGTGCGAGTTTGGTGAAGGGCCAGGGCGGTGGTGAGAGCAACGAGGGCGGATCGGTTGCGGGCCATTATGATCACCTGAACTCGGGTACATTAGCGTCGCCGTGGGACGGCGAGGTGGCTGCGGGCGCGGGAGTGTCGATGTCAGACAGTCTCACGATGCACGAGAGCAATGGCCAGTATGACCAGCTGAACAAAGCCGGCTTCGGCTGGGCCCCGTTTGGGTCAGGAGGAGCTGGAGCAGGGGAGCCGGGAGCGACGGGGAACGAGTACGACACCCTGGATCTTGGAGCTGTTGGGGGCACTGCGACGGCGGGCACGGACGGAACAGCTGAAGTGGCTGGAATGGACGCGATGATGAATATGGGGGAGACGGCCGATTACTCGGAGGTGTCTGATGGCCCTCGGCGTCTGGCGGGGATGGATGTGTATGCCAACCCGAACGAATGTACACCTGTGAGCGGGACAGAGGCAGAGGCATCGATGGTGGAAGATGAGGCAGAGGCATCGACGGCGGAGGCTGAGACATCGACGGCGGAGGATGAGACATCGATGGTGGAGGATGAGACATCGATGGCGGAGGCAGAGGACGTGCCTGCTGCAGGGACTGCGGATGAGGCGAGGGTGGCGATGCCTGGTGCCGAGATGGAGAGTGTGGCCAGTGGAGCAAACAATGCGCTGGTGAACTTTGTTGTGCCGCCTGCGCCTGATGGTGGTGGCAATGACGCTGAGGAGGCGAGGCGGGATGAGTTGGTCAACGACGATCTCCCTGAGGGGGTCTCGGCATCGGACGAAACGGGTGGCCTTGCGACGTTTGAGACACCAAATGTTGCGACATCGCCGGCGGTTGAGTCAAAGCCGGAACCTGCTGCCGGATCAGTGCCCTTGGCCTCGGGCTTGGACCAGCCACCTAGCCGGGTGGGATCGGCCAATGAGACGGCTGGTGTGCCCTCATTGGCGGCGGCGGTGGTGGCCTCGAAGCCTGTTCGCCTGCCTGGCCGCGTTGGGCCCATGGAGCGGGAGGGTGGCAGTCCCAGTGGCACGCCAGGATCGAGCCCGCACAGTACGCTGGAGCGCCCGGCATCATCGACGGGTGCAGGAGCGGGAACGGGGGCGAGTGGCGATGCCGCATCGGCGGGAGAGTGGCGAGATGAGGCAACGGGCGTTTCCTACGAGCTGTCGCGTGACCTAGGGCCGCGTGCGCGGCGTCGGCGAAGCCCGGTGCCAGAGGGCTCCGGTGCTCAGCAGCCGGCTGGCCGTGGGCAAGAGGATGAGAAGAGCGTGGCGCGTGAGGCTGGCGATGGGATGGGGGCGCTGCCTGGATCGGAGCGGGGTGAGCCGGGGCCGGTGGGCNGT